ACTTAGGATAGTGTCTAGCAATTAACTGGTATTCAAAAGACATCAGTCCCTCTCCAACCACCCTATCCCATGTTATGCCCCCTCAAGGTTCAGTCTGCCCCTGGAGCACCACTTGAAGGTTAATTCCAGTGTCACATCCTACCAAGATGAGAAAGAGCTTCAGGGCTGGTCCACTTCATTGGATAATCTGGTTCAAAATGTAATACTAGATGTGTGATCACAAACCCTGTGCTTTTCCTAAATTTAAGCACTCTTCTTCTTTCTGAGAGTGAGGCTATCAAATCTGACTTTCCTATGGTGAAGCCCTCCCTGTTCCTTTGTCATCCTTGTCTCTGATTCAAGTCCTAAAACTGGACTTTTCTCCTTACCCCATTCCCAGTTATCAAAAACTTGAATGATGCCAGGAAGAGATAAATGTCTAAAATTCTCTTCAACCACTTAGGAAGAATTCTACCCAATAAACATTTTCTTACAGCCCATAAAGCTGTCACCATTTTAAAAAAATAGCCAAAAAACCTAAACTTCCCAGCACCCTCAAGCTGCCCTGCTTGCCTCAAGGTGCCAAAATCATGAAGCCAACTTGTGCAAGAAATATGTTATGGAACAAGTTGCTTTCGCATTGAATCTTTCAGGTTTCCAGTTACAATCAAGGTAACTATGCCCATTATCTCTTTCATGCTGAGCCACTTGCCAAAATGTCCTTCATTTGCTGTCATCCACCACTATGAGCTGAAATAATCAATTAGAAAAATTCAGCTAATTTTTAAAAGCTGGTATTGCAATCCAAGTAATTTATTTTTCTGTATCTTGATGACATTATTTAGTTATGAAACATTTAAACTTCTTTAGCCCTTGACCCCTCACCCTGAGCAGCACAGAAAGACCATCCCCAAATAAGCTACATGTTCTTATTATCCTTCTACAGAGGACGACTTCTCTCTCAACAATACTCACTGTTTTCTCCCCAAACCTACTTTCATTTCAAATAGCTTTAATCTGTATGCTCTACCCCTTCAATCATGTTCACATTCTCTCCTTGCCTTAATAAAAATCTCCTCTTTTTTACAAAATATTAAGATCTTGTTTAACATATGTGCCTGTCAAGTGGACACTGCTCATTCTCATCTTTCCACATGCCATGGGATTCATGCTATTGGAATTAAGTGCACTTAGCTAGCAGTTGTGTGGAGACAACGAAGATTTTGTTCTAAAGAACACCTGAAAGTTTTAATTTCAACTTACTGAAACTTAAACTATTTCACATGTGTTATTGTCATCTTTTGATTTTCTATTCCCAGGCAAGAGCCCTTTGACTTTTGAGGCTCATGTCATCCCTCACCATGCTAATCATGACAAAAATCATTAAATTTAACTCATCATTTTACTAAATTTTAGAATGAAAAATCAAGGATATTATATATAGAAGATTTCTCAACAGTGAAACTATCGATGCTTGTATCAGATCATTTTTGATGCAGAAAATTCTTCTGTGCATTGTAGGAGGTTTAGCAGCTTCCCAGTCCTATATCATGTCAGTAGCAACTCTTCCCTCCCTCCTCAACTTTAGTAACAATTAACGATGTCTCCAGGCATTATCAAACATTCCCTGGGTGAAAATTGCCTCTGATTAAGAACTACTGGCATAAAGCAAATAACAAAAAAAAATTTCATTATTTTCATCTGGGATTTATAAGCCTGAACTGACACAGTAATTCAGAGTGCAGCTGCAGAGAGAAAAGGCAACAAAATCTTAAGTAATAAAACTTAAACATATAAATTTGAAACTGGAAATTTGGTAACAGTAAGACTCCTAAAAAAAAAATGCATTAAAAAATGTAGAAGCCTCTATTCAGTTCAACGAATCTGAAACTGAAGAATACATTCATTTCATAATTATACATTCATTTAATTTATGCTTGGAATTACAAGTGGTTTTAATTTGGTTATTATCATTTGTCAGATACTACAATGAAGAAATAAACAAGAAAAAAAGCAAAGAATTGTTTAAATGGCTTCAAATGTAATAGATTCAGAGAAGAACAGAATATATTCAATTGAAAAAGTAGTTTGAAAATGTCATAGCTCTATAATTACATCATTATCTTTTCTTAATGTGTTATTTACACTAAAAACAACTATTTAATATAATCTACTTATTTCATGAAAAATAACAATCACAAAATCAAGATTTGACCCCTAATTATAGTGCAATGCAATATACAAAGGCGCAAAAAACCCATAAGTATCTGTTGACTAAATGAATTATGATGCCACATTAACTAAATTTGTGCCAAAAACATAGTTTTTTTTTTTATTGTAAGAGATTTTCAAAGAAGTAATAACTATTATCCTTGATTTATACATCTTATCAAGATGTTTGATTTTGGAGTTGTCCAAATCAACTTCTTAAATATAGTCACAGTATACAAGGCATGTTAGAATTACTTTAAAAACTAGACATTCTGAGATGTATTAATGACATCATATCAGCCTGCAGCTATTGCAGCTTGAGGGCTATAAGTGACTTTTCTCTCCTCTCTTTGGGTATGAGTTTTCTAGTGTGCAGGAAGATAAATGCTCTCCTGAGTATGGTAGTGTCCAAGAGATACAAAAAAAATCAAGAAAAGTGTTCTTTCAAAAAGTTATCCACTATTATTTCTCTTGCATAACAAATATAACTATGGCGAAAAGTGAATAATTTATTTACTAAATTTATAGTCTAATTTACATAGGACCAAATATTAATACATGAGCTCCGCTTTCACTCCAAAGTTATCATATAAATGCAATTTAAATGACACTGAAGAAATGGGCTAACTGCTTTGTTTTTTACACTCTTTCAGTAGAGAAAAATATCAGGAATTTTATTCAGTTGGGCAGACTGTTTCCGTGTAACTAAGAATTTAGTTTTATTCTTAATTAACCATCACTAATAGAATTGTCCTAAAATTGGGATCTTTTTTCTTTTTTTTAAAAAAAAGGGTCTTACAAAGAATAGACCTCTCTTCAGTTGTAGAAGCTCATAGAAATAGTCAGCTTGTTGAACTATTTCTGGCAGGGTGATCAATCTATACAGTGAATTTCCATCAATACTAAAAATTCCAGTTTCTCTGGAACTTTAATTTTTGACGATGTAAACAAATGAGTTGACTTAAATTCTCTAGAGTCAAAAGTCTTCTATGCAAAAGGCATTGTGGCATTGCAGTTTAGAACTTAAAACTTTGGACTTAAATCTAAATTTGAATCGTATTACCACCACTTCCTAGCTGTGTATACAGTTAGCCAACTTCCATAAGCCCCACTATTCTCATCTGTAAAATAGGACAGTAACGTCGTGGGTCACTGGGAGTTAAAATGAGATCATTTTGTTTAAATGCTTAGCATGGTGACTGGCACAAATGATCAATAATTATTTTTATTAGTAGAACAAATAAATTACTTTTGTAAAAATAAATTTGACTTATTATTTGGGTTTTCTGTGCAAAATATAAACTACCCTGTGTGGTTTAGATAACAATATTAAGCTGCATGCCTGGTCTTTTTTTTTTTCAATGGAGGTGTGAAAGAAATACTCAAGTGACTGTGTTGCTGGTGGGAAAAAGCATATCATTACCTGGGGTCTTCAGGGTACAGTTGTGCTCAAAATTAAACACTTCTAGGGATTAAGATGTGACCCTTTTAATATGTGCCTTTAATTTTTTCATTCCTTAATACTCTATACTCAATGGTGCAGGATTCTGGTTTTCTACTGGCTCCTTATTTAAGAATGTGAAAACATTCAGATATTTGAGAGGGTAGAAGTGGAAATTAGGAATGCCTAAACAAACTCTAAAAGGAGTAAGAGTTTATTTTTAGCAGTATTAATTTATTGGCTTTATCAATTAATTGGTATTATGGCTACTATCCTATTTCAATCCCTACTTATTCAATAATAAATATGAAAATATCTAAGCTTTTCTTCTGGCCTATAAAATTTTAAAAATTAGCAAAACATATCACGTTGAAGACATTTATTTTTCACAGAGAGCAGTGAAGGCATTTCTCTACTTCCTTTCCCCCATACTACCCTAGGATTGCTCTGCAGTATTCATGTGTTAGTATAGGTCAACAAAAAGTACTATACGTGTGTTCAGCTGTTTAAAATGATGTTAATACACTTAATGCTATTAAAGAAAGAACCCAAAAAGGTTCAATATGTACATTCACTCTCATGAAGTTGTTTAGATGTAACAATGTAAACAAAATCTAAATAAACGCAACAATTTTCATCTTCTCAGGATTGGTGAAAAATGTTATTCTTTTGATTATAGTTACTTCTGTCCCTTTACCTTGAATATACTGAACAGCATCTTACTCTGTAAACCGTTAGCCCTTAATGTGGGGGTCTAAATTTTATTTTTTCTTTTTTATTGCTAACTGATTATTACTACCATTGGGGAAAGTTATTGGTTTCTACATATTTATTATGTATTCTGCTATGATATACAAATGTCTTATAAATTCTAAATTTAATTAGTTGCTTTTCTCCCTATAAACTTCAAAATATTTTTAAGAGATTTTCATAGGTATGTAACAATATATAAAATTTAAAATAATCCTTATATCTGATTATATTACTTCATTTGTTGTATTCAGATATAACTTCAAAAACAATTCAATTTGTACAGCTTGCTTAACACCATTAATATTTATTAAGCTAATTACTATTGGTTTGTAGTAGTTTTAACATAATGTTTATATACTTTTGTTCTATTTTTCTTCATACAGACTTTTGTTTAAGATGCAGAAGGGCTACCAAGTTTTTCCAAATTCTTTTGTTCGTTTGTTTGTTTGTTTGTTTCAAGGGATATAGACGCATTGCTTTATTGTAATTTGTTCCTGAAATGAATTACTCTGAGAGATTTGCTAATATTAGGTAATCACTGAAAAGCTAATAAGCTAAACTCTTTGTATGTACTGCAGTCAAACATAAAGAATAAAATTATTTTGGGTTTTCTTACTCTCTGAGGTGCTGCTGATTGTCTCCTTTCTCCCCATGGATTAGGACCTCAGAACTGGCAAACTCGTTGTTTGCTGCCAGACTCCAAGAAATTCAGCATTTCTGTGTGTGTTATCTGGCTTCACAAGTAGCCTCCATGTGAGTGACTATGCAGTCCGTGCAGTAAAGGGGAGTTTATCCCTATGGGGTGAGAATGAAACAATAGGAAACTTCATATGAGACACAGTAAAGCAGATAAATCCCTCCTCCTTTTTCCTTCTGTTAGCTTCTCTTCCATAAACTTTGGTGAATTCCTTCATACCACAGGTCTGTTGAGGGACTTTCTATGCTTCTGCAGTAGATTAAGGGGCAGTTACCAGCACAGTAATGCAATGGACTCCATTCCTTTTCATCTTTCCTTGCTTCCCTTAACTGCTCCTGAATTGCATCTTCTAAATAGATCAAATCCTTACCTTTATACTTGCCTCAGGTTCTGCTGCTTAAAGACAACAACTAAGATATTTGCTGTATATTATTAGCATTATTCTGACAAAAAGTAGTATAGCAGGGCTTATATTTTTTTAAATTATACTTTAAGTTCTGGGATACATGTGCAGAATGTGCAGGTTACACAGGTATACCCGTGCCATGGTGGTTTGCTGCACCCATCAACCTGTCATCTACATTAGGCATTTCTCCTAATGCTATTCCTCCCATGCCCCTCCACCCATTGACAGTCCCTGGTGTGTGATATTTCCCTCCCTATGCCCATATGTTCTCATTGTACAACTCCAACTTATGAGTGAAAACATGTGGTGTTTGGTTTTCTGTTCCTGGTTTAGTTTGCTGAGAATGATGGTTTCCAGCTTCATCCATTTTTTTATGGTTTCATAGTATTCCATGGAGTATATGTGCCAAATGTTCTTTATCCAGTCTATATTGATGGGCATTTGGGTTGGTTCCAAGTCTTTGCTATTGTGAATAGTGCTGAAATAAACATACATGTGCATGTGTCTTTAGAGTAGAATGATTTATTATCCTTTGGGTATATACCCAGTAATGGGACTGCTGGATCAAATGGTATTTCTGGTTATAGATTCTTGAGGAATCGCTATACTGTCTTCCACAATGGTTGAACTAATTTACATTCCCACCAACAGTGCAAAAGCCTTCCTATTTCTCCACATCCTCTCCAGCATCTGTTATTTCTTGACTTTTTAATAACTGCCATTCTAACTGGCATACGATGGTATCTCATTGTGGTTTTGATTTGTATTTCTCCAATGACCAGTGATGAGCTTTTTTTTTTCATGTTTGTTGGCTGCCTAAATGTATTCTTTTGAGAAGTATCTGTTTGTGTCCTTCACCCACTTTTTGATGAGGTTGTTTTTTCTCATAAATTTGTTTAAGTTCCTTGTAGAGTCTGGATGTTAGACCTTTGTCAGATGAGTAGATTGCAAAAATTTTCTCCCATTTTCTAGGTTGCCTATTCATTCTGATGACAGTTTCTTTTGCTATGCAGAAGCTCTTTAGTTTAATTAGATCCCATTTGTCAATTTTGGCTTTTGTTGCAATTGCTTTTGTTATTTCAGTCATGAAGTCTTTGCTCATGCCTATGTCCTGAATAGTATCATCTAGGTTTTCTTCGAGGCTTTTTATGGATTTAGGTCTTACATTTAAATGGTTAATCCAGCTTCAGTTAATTTTTGTATAAGGTATAAGGAAGGAGTCCAGTTTCAGTTTTCTGCATATGGCTAGCTAGTTTTCCCAACATCATTTATTAAATAGGGAATCCTTTCCCCATCTTTTGTTTTTGTCAGGTTTGCCAAAGATCAGATGGTTGTAGATGTGTGGTGTTATTTCTGAGGCCTCTGTTCTACTCCATTGGTCTATATATGTTTTGGTACCAGTACCATGCTGTTATGGTTACTGTAGCCTTGCAGTATAGCTTGAAGTCAGGTAATGTGATGCCTCCAGGTTTCTTCTTTTTTTGCTTACAATTTTCTTGCCTATATGGGCTCCTTTTTGGTTCCATATAAAATTAAAAGTAGCTTTTTCTAATTGTGTGAAGAAAGTCAACGGTAGCTTGATGGAAATAGCATTGAATCTATAAATTACTTTAGGCAATATGGCCATTTTCACAATATTGATGCTTCCTATCCATGAGCATGGAATGTTTTTCCATTTCTTTGTGTCCTCTCTTATTTCCTTGAGCAGTGGTTTGTAGTTCTCCTTGAAGAGGTCCTTCACATCCCTTGTAAGTTATGTCCTAGGTATTTTATTCTCTTTGTAGCAATTGTGAATGGGAGTTTGCTCATGATTTGGCTCCCTGTTTGTCTATTATTGGTGTACAGGAATGCTTGTGATTATTGCACACTGAGTTTGTATCATGAGACTTTGCTGAAGTTGCTTATCAGCTTAAGGAGATTTTGGACTGAGACAATGGGGTTTTCCAAATATATAATCATGTCATCTACAAACAGAGATAATTTGACATCCTCTCTTCTTATTTCAATAGCCTTTATTTCTTTCTCTTGCCTGATTTCCCTGGCCAGAACTTCCAATACTATGTTGAATAGGAGTGGTGAGAAAGGGCAACCTTGTCTTGTGCTGGTTTTCAAAGGGGGTGCCTTCCCACTTTTACCCATTCCATATGATATTGGCTGTGGGTTTGTCATAAATAGCTCTTAATATTTTGAGATATGTTCCATTGATACCTAGTTTATTGAGTGTTTTTACCAGGAAGCAATGTTGAATCTTACCAAAGGCATTTTCTGAATCTATTGAGATAATCACGTGGTTTTTGTCATTGGTTCTGTTTATATCATGGATTACGTCTATTGATTTGTGTACGTTGAACCAGCCTTGCCTCCCAGGGATGAAGCCAACTTGATCGTGGTAGATAAGCTTTTTAATGTGCTGCTGGATTCAGTTTGCCAATATTTTATTGAGGATTTCTGCATCGATGTTCATCAGGGATATTGGTCTGAAATTTTCTTTTTTATTGTGTCTCTGCCAGATTTGGTATAAGAATGATGCTGGCCTCATAAAATGAGTTAGTAAGGAGTTCCTCTTTTTCTGTTTGGAATAGTTTCAGGAGGAATGGTACCAGCTCTTCTTTGTACCTCTGGTAGAATCTGGCTGTGAATCCATCTGGTCCTGGGCTTTCTTCAGATGGTAGCCTATTAATTACTGCCTCAATTTCAGAACTTGTTATTGGTCTATTCAGGGATTCAACTTCTTCCTGATTTAGTCTTGGCAGGGTGTATGTGTCCAGGAATTTATCCATTTCTTCCAGATTTTCTAGTTTATTTGCATAGAGGTGTTTATAGTATTCACTGATAGTAGTTTGTATTTCTGGGGGAGCAGTAGTGATCTCTCCTTCATCATTTTTTATTGTATCTATTGGATTACTCTCTCTTTTCTTCTTTATTAGTCTGGTTAGTGGTCTATTTTGTTAATTCTTTCAAAAAACCAGCTCCTGGATTCATTGATTTTTTTGAAGGGGTTTTTGTGTCTCTATGTCCTTCAGTTCTGCTCTAATCTCAGTTACTTCTTGCCTTCTGCTAGCTTTTGAATTGGTTTGCTCTTGCTTCTCTAGTTCTTTTCATTGTGATGTTAGGGTGTCGATTTTAGATCTTTCCTGCTTTCTCCTGTGGGCATTTAGTGCTATAAATTTCACTCTAAACACTGCTTTAGCTGTGTCCCAGAGATTCTGGGACATTGCATCTTTGTTCTCATTAGTTTCAAAGAATTTATTTATTTCTGCCTTAATTTCATTATTTACCCAGTAGTCATTCAGGAGCAGGTTGTTTAGTTTCCATGTAGTTGCGTTGTTTTGAGTGAGTTTCTTAATCCTGAGTTCCAACTTGATTGCACTGTGGTCTGAAAGATTGTTATAATTTCCATTCTTTTGCATTTGCTGAGTAGTGTTTTACTTCCAATTATGTAGTCAATTTTAGAATAAGTGTGATGTAATGCTGAGAAGAATGTATATTCTCTTGATTTGAGGTGGAGAGTTCTGTAGATGTCTATTAGGTCTGCTTGGTCCAGAGCTGAGTTCAAGTCCTGAATATCTTTGTTAATTTTCTGTCTCGTTAATCTGTCTAATATTTACAGTGGGGTGTTAATGACTCCCACTATTATTGTGTTGGAGTCTAAGCCTCTTTGTAGGTCTCTAAGAATTTGCTTTCTGAATCTGGGTGCTCCTGTATTGGGTGCATATATATTTAGGATAGTTAGCTCTTCTTGCTGCATTGATCCCTTTACCATTATGTAATGCACTTGTCTTTTTCGATCTTTGTTGGTTTAAAGTCTGTTTTATCAGAGACTAGGATTGTAACTCCTGCTTTATTTTCCTTTCCATTTGCTTGGTAAATATTCCTCCATCCCTTTATTTTGAGCCTATGTGTGTCTTTGCACATGAGATAGGTCTCCTGAATACAGCACCCCAATGGGTCTTGACTATTTATCCAATTTGCCAGTCTGTGTCTTTTAATTGGGGCATTTGGCCCATTTACATTTAAGGTTAATACTGTTATGTGTGAATTTGATCCTGTCATTATGATGCTAGCTGGTTATTTTGCCCATTAGTTGATGCAGTTTCTTCATAGTGTTGATGGTCTTTATATTTTGGTTTGTTTTTGCAGTGGCTCATACCAGTTTTCCCTTTCCATACTTGGGGCTTCCTTCCAGAGCTCTTGTAAGGCAGCCTTGGTTGTAACAACCTACCTCAGCATTTGCTTTTCTGTAAACGATTTTATTTCTCCTTCCCTTATGAAGCTTATTTTGGCTTGATATAAAATTCTGGGTTGAAAATTCTTTTCTTTAAGAATGTTGAACATTGGCCCTCACTCTCTTCTGGTTTGTAGGATTTGTGCAGAAAGATCTGCTGTTAATCTGATGGGTTTCCCTTTGTGGGCAATCCGACCTTTCTCTCTGGCTGCCCTTAACATTTTTTCCTTCATTTCAATCTTGGTGAATCTGACAACTATGTGACTTGGGGTAGCTCTTCTTGAGGAGTATCTTTGTGGTGTTCTCTGCATTTCCTGAATTTGAATGTTGGCCTAACTTGCTAGGTTGGGACGTTCTCCTGGATAATATCTTGAAGTGTTTTCCAACTTGGCTCCATTCTCCCCATCACTTTCAGGAACACCAATCAAATGTAGGTTTGTTCTTTTCACAGAGACCCATGTTTCTTGGAGGCTTTGTTCATCCCTTTTCATTCTTTTTTCTCTAATCTTGTCTTCATGCTTCATTTCATTAAGTTGATCTTTAATCTCTGATATCCTTTTTTCCACTTGACCAATTCAGCTATTAATGCTTATGCATGCTTCACAACATTCTTGTACTGTGTTTTTCGGCTCCATCAGGTCACTTATGTTCTTCTCTAAACTGGTTATTCTAGTTAGCAATTCCTCTAACTTTTTATCAATGTTCTTAGCTTCCTTGCATTGGGTTAGAACATGCTCCTTTAGCTCGGAGGAGTTTGTTATTACCCACCTCCCGAAGCCTACTTCAGTCAATTAGTCAAACTCATTCTCCATCCAGTTTTGTTCCCTTGCTGGCAAGGAGCTGTGATCCTTTGGAGGAGAAGAGGCATTCTGGTTTTTGGAATTTTCAGCCCTTTTGCACTGGTTTTTCCTCATCTTTGTGGATTTATCTACTTTGGTTGTTGCTGTTGGTGACCTTTGAACGGAGTTTTTGCTTGTCGTCCTTTTTTTTTTTTTTTCTGATGTTGATGCTATTACCTCTGTTTGTTAGTTTTTCTTCTAACAGGTCCCTCTTCTGCAGGTCTATTGCAGTTTGCTGGGGGTCCACTCCAGACCCTGTTGCCTGGTAGCACCACCAGAGGCTACAGAACAGCAAAGATTGCTGCCTGCTTGGGTAGCACCACCAGATTGCAAAGATTGCTGCCTGCTCTTTCCTCTGGAAGCTTTGTCCCAGAGGGGCACCCACCGAATGCCAGCCGGAGCTTTCCTGTATAAGTTTTCTGTCGACTCCTGCTGGGAGGTGTCTCCCTGTCAGGAGGCTCAGGGGTCAGGGACACACTTGAGGAGGTCTTCTGTCCTTTAGCAGAGCTTGAGCATTGTGCTGGGAGATCCACTACTTTCTTCAGAGTTGGCAGGCAGGAATGTTTAAGTCTGCTGAAGCTGTGCCCACAGCTACCCCTTCCCCCAGGTGCTCTGTCCCAGGAAGCTGGGAGTTTTATCCATAAGCCCCTGACTGGGGCTGCTGCCTTTCTTTTAGCAATGCCCTGCCCAGATAGGAGGAATCTAGAGAGGAAGGCTGGTTACCATGGCTTTGCGGTGCTGTGGTAGACTCTGTCCAGTCTGAATTTCCCACTGACTTTGTTTATACTGTGAGAGGAATACCACCTACTCAAGTCTCAGTAATGGTGGACTCCCCTCCCCCAACCAAGCTCAAGCATCCCAGGTTGACGTTAGACTGCTGTGCTGGCAGCAAGAATTTCAAGCCACTGGATCTTATCTTGCTGGGCTCTATGGTGGTGGGATCCACTGAGTAAGACCACTTGACTCCCTGGCTTCAGCCCACTTTCCAGGGGAGTAAACAGTTCTATCTCGCTGGCATTCCAGGCACTACTGGGGTACAAAAAAAAAAAAAAATCTTCTGCAGCTAGCTTGGTGTCTGCCCAAACAGCCACCCAGTTCTGTTCTTGAAACCCAGGGCCCTTGTGGTATAGGCACATGGGCAGAGTTTGGAAGATTTTGGAGGGTTCAGAAGAAGACAGGAAGATGAAGGAAAGTTTGGAACTTCTTAAAGACTGATTAAATGGTTGTAATCAAAATACTGATAATGATATGGACAATGAAGTCCAGGCTGAGGAGGTCTCAGACTGAAATAAGGAACTTATTGGGAACTGGAGCAGAGGCCACCCATGTTATGCCTTAACAAACAGCTTGATTGAATTCTGTTCATACCCTAGGGATCTGTGAAAGTTTGAACTTTAGAGTGATGACCTAAGGTATCTGGTGGAAGATATTTTTAAGCAGCAAAGTGTCCAAGGTGTGGTTTGACTGCTTCTAACAGCCTATACACAGATGCAGGAGCAAATAAAGAAGTTAGAACTTATATTTAAAGGGAAGCAGGATGTAAATAAACATTTGAAAAATTTGCAGCCTGGCCATGTGGTACAAAAGCAAAGCCCATTTTCAGCGAAGGAATTCAAGCAGGCTTTTAAATTTGCATAACAAAAAAGGAAGTAAGTGTTGATAGCCAAGACAATGGGAAAAGGCCTCAGGGGCATTTTGGAGATCTAAGAGGCAGCCCCTACCGCCACATGCCCACAGGTTTAGGAAGACAGAACGGTTTCCTGGGCCAGGCCTGAAGTCCCACTGCCCTGTACAGTCTCAGGAAACTTCTCCCTGCATTCCAGACACTCCAGCTCCAGTCCCAGCTGTGGCTTAAATGGGTCCAGTTATAACTCCAGCCACTGCTTCAGAGAGTGCAAGCAGTAAGCCTTGGAGGCCTCTATATGTTAATGTTGTGGGTGTGCAGAATGCAAGAGATGAGGCTTGGGAGCCTTCACCTAGATTTCAGAGAATATATTTGAAAAGCCTGGATGTCCAGGCAGAAGCCTGCTGAGATGGGTTGTGCCTTCACAGGAAACCTCTACTAGGGCAGTATGGAGGGGAAATGTGTGTGGAGCCCCCACACAGAGTCTTCACTGGGTCATCCCGGGATGGTCAAGCCAATGGCACATCCAAGTGCCCATGTTCCCTAAATGTGAGGCATGAAGTCAAAGGAGATTATTTTGAAGCTTTAAGATTTGATGACTGCCCTGCTGGGTTTTGAACATGTTTGTGGCCGGTCACTCCTTTCTCTTTGCTGATTTTGCCCTTTTGGAATGGAAATGTTTACTCAATGTCTATAACCTCAGGTATTTTAGAAGTAACTAGTTTCTTTTTTGTTGTTGTTGTTTTTGTTTTTCTTACAGGCTCATAGGTAGAAGAGACTTGCCTTGTATCAGATGAGACTTTAGACTTTGAACTTTTGAGTCAGTGCTAAAATAAGACTTTGGGGGACTACTGGGAGGGCATGATTGCATTTTGCAATGTGAGAGGGATATAAGCTTTGGGAGGGGCCAGGGGCCAAATGATATGGTTTGTATCTGTGTCCTCACCAAATCTCAGGTTGAATTGTAATCCCCAATGTTAGAGGTGGGGCCGGGTAAGAGATGACTGGATTGTGAGGGTGGATTTCTCATGAATGGGTTAGCACCACCCCCTTCATGCTATCCTCAAGATGCTGAGTAAATTCTCATGAGATCTGGTTGTTTAAAGTGTGAGGCACCTCACTTTCACTCTCTTGCTCCTGCTCCTGCCATGTAAGATGTCAGTGCTCCCCCTTCACCTTCTACCATGATTTTAAGTTTCCTGAGGAAGTTGAACAGATGCCAGCATCATGCTTTCCATACAGCTTGCAGAACCATGAGCCAATTAATCCTCTCTTCTTTGTAAATTATCCAGTCTCAGGTATTTTTTATAGCAATGCGAGAATGAACTGATATAACTAAGTATCTATCAATGCAGGATTTATAAATAAATTATGTTATATCCATAAACTGAAACATTCCAGCTTGCATACAAAAGGATATGCTAATTTGGAAAGATCTCTAAGACACAGTAATTGAATAAAGCAAACTATGTGAGATAGATATAAATTGTACTTATACTTGATTGAATTTACATAATTTTTGAAAGGAACACAAGAAACTAATAAAACATGTTTTTAGTTTGGGGCTGGTGCCAACTAATGGATGATATACCAGGGTGGGAGTGAGACAACCATTTTTATTTTGGCACCAGTATAGCAAAGAAATACAAAAAATTTTGTACATCACCTGTCATATTTCCTTAGTCTCTTAGTTGTCCCTTATCTTGATATTTCTATTCTGTTTCTATTTTCATTTTGTAGTTGCAACTTGCCACATTCTTGATGAGTAGAATATTTTCTGATTTCTGTACACCTCCTACATTTATTACCTATTGAAGAAATTAAATCAATAAAAATGAAATACATAATCTCCCTGAGTACAGAAGTTTTTAATGATTTCTCACATTCTCAAGGCATTCCCTCATTTAACAATCACATCTAAGTTATATTAGACACCATGCTAAGTACTGGAAATACATAATGCAAAAAGAGAGAGACAAGGAGAAGAGAGTGAAGAAGGCAGAAGAAGAAAAGAATAGATTCTCTGCTCTAAAGGAACTTGCATTCTAGTACGCAAAGATATGTCAGGTAGCAATAATTTTTTAAATTAACTGTCTTGAAAATAATGCTATTTTAAAAAGCTTTGCAAATAAAGATAAATATAATAGAGCACTAAAAATAAGGATGTGGCTATTGATTTGAAAGTAATCTTACTGTGACATAATTTACTCATAGATTAACTGGTTTGATTTTGCCAGTTGTCAGGTGGATGTCTTTCTTTTTTCTATTCCATGTGTGTCTATTTCAGTTAAAAATGTGTAAGAATTTCTTTCTACATGAAGCTTCTTGGAACATTAAAAACATCTTGGAAATTTTTAAATGCCAGAATTATTTGGAATTGACATTACTCAGAATAGTCCTGATCAATTACCATTGCCTTCTATACTAGGAGGATGTATAGGTGAAATGATATCTTCTCTGGTGTCTCCTGAAGTCTTCAAAACATCAATGTATCCTTCCAACCAATGTTTCCACCATGCCCTGAGGCTGATTGGCTGGTAAAATGGCCAATGCCAATGCTACCAGAGTTTAGGTTCTTTAAGGGACTGTTTTGTTATTTTTTTTCCATCCATTATAATTCTGGAAAATTTTCCTAACAGAGTAAGTTCAGCACTTTTTAAATGCCTTTAACTTTCTGAACCTCTAGTTAGTGTAGATACATTTTCTCTTATTCATTTCAGTGGGTGAGTTTTCCTGACTTCTCTCCCTGGTATCTTTTACTTTAGCAGCTTGGTCCCTGATCTAATAACATAAAGAATCAAGAAAAACAAAATCATTAATGGGAAATTCATATAGTGAGGTGAATATGAAAGAAATAAAGCTAGATGCTCTGAGTGCCATTAACCTCTAGAAAGGACCTGAGACAGTGGGCCTATGGGGTAGAACATAAGAAAGAGGAAGGGCCTTGAGAGGTAATTAGACAGGAAAGCAAAACCAGATAACTGGTCAATTCTTTTTCTACCTTCTGAAAATCATTATAAATGGTCTCCATACCTTCAATAACCAGGGATCCCGGGTCCTAAAGAATTTATACTGAATTCCTTCATAGTCAAACATTGGTAGGAATTAGTGTTTTATGCAAGCATCTTCTTGTTATATCCATTAAACTTTGCCTGGAGAAAACTTTTGCTATCATTTGCACTCATTAGGGGCTTCTTGGAAAAAAAAATTATAAAGTTTTGAGATTGGGCTTGTGAGTTTAGTATTCCACAATTCTTATGCATTAGGGGAGAATATATTGCCATTCTTCTCTACCTTAAAAATCCCTAACGAGGTATCACAAATTCTTTATTGCATTATGACAGCCTATATCCTTACCAGAAAGGTGAAAAGGAGAAAGATTAAAATTATATTTTCACTGTGTTAACATTTAATCATTACTTCAAAATGCCAGTTTTTAAATTAAGAGGTTCTCAAAAATAATTATTTAATTATATTGTTCTAGGCCAATAAATAGCTTTGGAAATATTTAACTGCAATCATACAGCTAATAGTTAATAAAGACAACATCATTTTTGTTTCCTTTTCTTACTGAATTTATTGTGATGTTAAAATTACTTGTTTTATGTAAATTATCCCCACCCAGTCCTCCAGCACAATTTGGAATAATTGTATAACTAACTTAAATAATTTCTATCTTAAAAAGTTTAACTGTCTAATTCATCTAGCAAATATTATTTATTTTATATAAATTTGTGAAACAAATGAAAAGTAAACAAATCGCAAGGCTCTAGATTTGGAAACAAGTCAATAAATAAGACTAAAGTAGAATCACACATCTATTTTCCTATCATGCTGGTTTGATTTTGATGAGTTCTATATTACTACAAGACTCACAAGAAAATAAAATTTTTGAAATAAATAATCTAAAACTTCAGGTGTTTTGAAACATGTGAGTTATTTGAGGTATATGTCCTCAATTTAAAGAAATTAACTCCCTTCTTTTTTCCCTGGCATTTTATGAAATTTAATGCACAAATATATGTGCATTCCAAAATGTCAAAAGATTATTTTTATGTGTCAGAAGATTCAATCCATGCTTCTCTTAAAAATTTAGAACTTGTTTACTTCTAAGGCTGAGTGCATTTTAGAATAACTTTGTGTTAGCTACAAATAACAATCTTTTCAAGCCCTAGCAACCAGGCTCTGCCTCCGCAAAGGCCTTTGAAGGGTTTCTTTCACTGCCTTTGCCCCTCCTCCTTCTGTACCCACCCAGGTTCTCAGCATAACAATTTCAAAAAATAGAGAGGGAGGGAGGGAGGGAGGGAGGGAGGAAGGAAGGGAAGAAGGAAGGAAAGAAGGAAGGAAAGAAGGAAGGAAGGAAGGAAGGAAGGAAGGAAGGAAGGAAGGAAGGAAGGAAAAGGGGGAGGGAGAGAGAGAAAGAAAACTTGTTAAAAATGAGGTAGTTCAGTGTTTTATGGTTTAAAAGTGTATGAAAGCCAAATGTACACATTCTCACCTACTTAACATGCAAGTTTTGGGATATAATCCTTCAGAAAACAATAGGTTTATTGATTATAAAGGCTCCAGTAGAAGTTTCTTACCAGTGTGTGGCTTTTTCGTGAAGGGGGAAAAAATGATTTGGAAATGAGCCACCTTTATTTTTAAATTCCCCAGTCAATATGTTGCCACAGCAACCAAAGTTCTTGCTATCTGGGAAAAGACAGATGTCTTTGCTTCAATCAAGATGCAAAGCTAGAGAAAAAGAAAAAAAAGCAATGAAAATACATCATTTCATTTTTTGAAAATGTGAATTGCCCTGAGCTGGCTTTGAGACATAGTTCTTATCCATAGTATCCATCAACATGTATTCAAGTCCCTCAATATTGCAATACTTCATTTTCATTAATTAAATAATTACCTCGAATGCTGTCTCATAACATTCAGTTGAGTTCATTCATTGTCGAAAATGTCATTCAATTTAAAATAGTTCATATTACTATGCAGTTTATTGACAAAGATGATGTTTAAGTCTATTTAATAAGAGCGGTTGTGTCCAGAAGAAAAGAAAGATGGGAACCACAAAAGGACTGCTGAGAAAAAGAACCAGAAAGCCTCCTTTATTTTAACATTGTTGTTGTCCTATATGTGCTTATTCCTTAACCCTTGAATCTTAACTAAAATGAAGGTAAAGTAATTTTTGAATGTTTAAACTAACAAGAACAAAAAGGGTACAAGAAGAGACAACAGTAGACCAAAGATTACAACAAACTTTTGAATATGGGAAACAAGTAGCAAGTGAATTAACAAAAGTGAGATGTTTGGGAAAAAATACTGAACAGTGAACAAACGTACAGAGAATTACAGATAAACTCAAGAGTGAGATCTAGAGAAAGCAGAATGTTGAGACAGAAAATATAAAGACATTCAGTGAAAACTGGGCTTCAAGAAAAGAGAGAGCTTTTAGCCCCTTTTCAACTACTGTGTGCTAGAGAGGAAAGGGAAATTTCATGCCTGAGACCTAAACAACAGGAAAAATAAAGTAAAGATGAAGGAGTGGCTCAGCTCTCAAAATAGAAAAAAAAAATACAAATTTTGCATATTAAATATTAGACTCTACAATTTCCTTCCCCACCCTACCAGAACTCTCACTAAGAAGGATTCAACCTTCTAGGTATAAAGCTAAACAATTTTTATCTGAAGAAATTGAAAACAAAAGCAACACACACACACATTTTAGCATCACTCCAGTAGAAGAAATAGCTTGCCACCAAATCACCCAGATGAGAATCCCACAAGTCAACAAACACTTCTCACATGCACAGAGTTCCTGATCCACATTAACTTGTTGCATACTTCATCACACATAGCTCAAAGACTAAATAAATGGGCATGAATAAATAAGAACTTAGATGAAACAAAGACATTGCTGGGCAAAGAACAAAAAGGTAAGTAAAACTATTGTTAATTACCTTGTAGAGAAAGAAGATACTAAAAAGAATTGAGAGCTATAGAATGGAACATCAAAGGTAATTAAGACTCCTGGTAATTAAAAATATGCTATCCAAAATTTAAAAAGAAAACTAAAATAGATTATGCAAAATCTTAAAAAGTGCTAACAGAAAAAGTTATAATAGAAAATAAAAAGTTATAGAATTAGATGATCAGCCCAGGTGCTCTAACTTCTAAATTCTACATACAAAGAAATAGAGAAGCAAAAAGGGAAGAAATTAACAAAGGACAAATACAACACATTTTTTCCCCAGAAATGCTATTAGATTATTCTGGGCTCTCATTGAAAATTTTTTCAATAAATGAACCCAAGCAAGGCACATTGTACATATTTCAAAACACTAGTTATTAAAAGATATCCTAAAAACTTACAAAGACAAAAAATGAGAGATCACAAAGTATCAGGTAAATGAATAACAGAATTCTCAACAGCAATACTACAAGTCAAATATACATGAAGAGAAGAAACTAAAAAATATCCAGATAAACTGTTAAGAGTACAAAAAAGATATTTTCAGACATTGATGCAATAAAAAATATGTATTTTCCATAAACACTTTCTTAGGAAGCTACCGGAAAATATACTCTTATAAAACAAACAAAGGAAAAAGAAGAACACTGTATTAGTTAGGGTTCTCCAGAGAAACAGAACCAATAGGATATAGATAGACATATAGATATAGACAGATAGATGTATAGATATATAGAAATATATTTATAATAAGGAATTGACTTCTCTTAATTATGGATGCTGTCACATGATCTACCTTCTGCAAGGAGGAGACTCAGGAAAGCTGGTGGTGTAACTAAGAATAAGAGGACCAATGATGTAAGTTCCGGTCTAAAGACAGAAGAAGACTGATGTCCCAGCTCAAGCAGTCAGGCAGCGATAGAAAAATATCTCCCTTCTGCTTTTTTGTTCTATTCATGCCCTCAGTGGACTGGATGGTGCCTATGTCCCCCTGTATTGTGAAGGGCAATTGGCTTTGCTCTCTACCACTTCAAATGCTCATATTTTCCAGAAACAGCCTCACAGACACACTCAGAAATGTTTAGCTAATTATCTTGGAAACCCTTGATCCAGTAAAGTTGAGACTAAAATTAAACATCACAAACACAAAACTCAGGAAACAGAATCCATCCTAAGAAAAAAGGAAGGAAAGTACTTTGTTAATGGGAAGAAGCAAATCTATCAAGAAAATTGTTTTTACTAGAGAGGTATATTGAAGATAGTGAGATGGAGATCTGCAGAAAAACAACAACAGCAACCTTAGATCTTCTAGAATGTATGTTTGTAGAATCTTTATTCATAATCACCCAAACTGGAAAAAAACAAGATGTCCTCCAATGGATGAAGGAATAAACAAACTCTGGTACATCCATACAACAGAATATTATTCAGTGGTCAAAAGAAATGCACTATCAAGCCCCAAAGAGACATGGAGGAAACTTAAAGGCATATTACTAAGTGAACAAAGCCAATCTAAAAGGGTACATATGGTGTGATTTCAACGGACATCCTGGATAAAACAATATTAGAAAGTTTGTCCATCCATGGTTAACAGAGGTTCAGGTGGAGTGGGAAGAGGGATGAATACAAGGATGAAGCACAGGAGATTTTTAGAATGGGGGAAACTATGCTGTATGATATTTTAATGCTGAATAAATGACATTATGCATTTGTAAAAAAACATAGAACTGTACAATATAGGGAAAGAAAACAATGTTAAACTATAGTTTTTCATTAACGATAATGTGTAATATTGGATAATCAATTATAACAAATGAGCCACACTAGTGCAAGATGTTAAAAATAGGGGAAACAGTGTGCAAGAGGGAGGGATATATGGGAGGTCTCTGTACTAGCTGCTCAATTTTTCTGTATACTTAAAACTGTTCAAAAAAACAAAATCTGTTCATTAAAAAGTATAAGTTAAAAAAAGAAATAAATACATGTATAGAAAGTCATGCCAATAAAATACGATACAAGAAATAAATATCTGAGAAACAAAGTGTTATTTATAAAAGGAATCATGATGATTGTTTGGGTCAAGAGTAAACTATGAATTCATTTTTTATAGAACATGTATTCTGTTCTAAGTACTCTTCAACTGCTTAAGATACATTAGGAAACAAAACAATAGAACACTTTATTCTCAAGGGGCTTATGGTATAGTGATATTGCATAATCATATTTTTTTAAAAAATAAAAATTTAAAGACTGATTATTGTTTTAGCCCCTATGTATCATATAGTTATACTGATGAATAAATATATTAGAAGTAGAAATGGGAAGAAGGAATTAAGTCCTTATCTTTCACAGCAAGAAATCAACTGAAAATGTATATAATCAGTAAATATCAGTATAGATTTACAATGTAGAAATATGTAGGTAAATACCAGGGAAACATGTAGAAGAGTCAAATGTAGTTGATTCTGTAGAGAAAGACAGGTACATGGGTGGGTTGTGAGTGAGGAGGAAAATGACTGCTATTTCTCATTATGAGACTATTAATAATTTGATTTTTAAAATCTATACATGTATAAATCATATAAATTTCAACGAATTAGAAAATAAATCTAACAATTAAAGACAAAATTCAAGATCTATGGCATGAGATGTGGAGTATAACACTGAAAAACCATAACTCTCTCTAATACTGTATGCAAAAGGTATCAATATGCTATGTCACTGTATGCCTTAGAGATTATTGGTATTGCAAAAGAATAAATAAATAAGGTTTGTGTTTACAAGATTGCAGAGATATCACTTTTATATAAAATACAATGTTATTCCACATTTTCTTCTTTCATTTTGTCATCAGTTTTATTTAATCGTGATGTAGCATATAGAAAAATTACTATCTAAATGTTAGCACTTCAGAGCTAATAGTAAAGTGGTACCTCTGTGTATAGATATTACAATAGCAAAGCTTCTACCAAATCTACAGTTTCTTTAAACCATGACTTACACTGTATTAATATTAACCTCCATAAGATTAGAAAACTTATGATATACATATTTTATTTCCAAAGAAGATGGTATTAATATGAGATTATAACTGTTATGCTTTATAAGGGGAAGAAATGTCAATAATAAATCACTGCCTGCTATGGAGACATCATGATAATTATTTTTTCTTCTGTTGAAGCAAAAAGGACTGAGCATTAGAAACATCACTGAAATCCAATTCTCCTTTCTCAAGAAAGTGTTATTGTAAAATTTCAAATACTAAAATTTTAAAGAATGCTTTTATTTTGCCTTTCAGCAGAAAAATATGTCTCATCAGAAAAACAAAGGATTCCATAATATTGTGATATAATCAGAAATACATATTTTGTCTCCATCACTGGCTTTTGGCATGGAGCTTGTAAAACCTTTGGAATTTTCTGGAAGATAGGGTAAGGGTGCCTTTCATATAAAATAAACCTCTTTCAATCATAGTTTATGCTAATAAAGCAATTCTTGAAGGATGGCTGCTGGTTCCCAGAGCAACCAACCATGAGATAAGAAAGTTGGCTCTTTCAGCTCCATGCCCCAAACTCTGGGTAGAGGAAAAGGGCTGAGAATTGAGTCAATCACCAATGGCCAATGATTTCATCAACCATGCCTCTATAATGAAACTTCAAAAAAGCCTAAATGACAGGGCTGGGAGAGCTTCTGGGTTGGTAAGCACACTTATGTGCTGAGAAGTGACAAACTCTGACTCCATGGAGACAGAGGCACCTGTGCTAGGAACCCT